GGATAATTGCGGTACCATACACAATGTTTATGTTTTACTTCTACAATGTCTATGTTAAGAACTTTGAGACGATATCTGAATTTTTAACGACTATTGCTTACCGCAATGCCAAGAGACCTGACTGCTAGGCTGAACTGAATTCAGGTTACTGGAACAACATCTCTTCCCCTAAACACCAACAACCTCAGCTCACTGAGAATGAGGACTGACTGACCCAATAGAAGCAGTGGTTACGAAGGCTACTCGGAGACATTCCCTTTCCCATTTAGACCAGATTTTGAACCCCATTTACCCTGGAAACAACCCCTACTCTTAAGTGTCGTGCTCGAAGGACCTCCATTTAACGTCCTCTCCGAAAGAACGTCCCTAGCCTAATCTACAATGTACGTATTCGTTTACACTTCAGTGAAGTGAGGAAAGTCGTGTGAAGTGCCTTTCCCATGGGCACAACACCGGGGCATTTCAGATCCTCTTGGTCGAACACTCGTACATTACGCCACACGACGCCACACCATGCCATAGAAAAGGCAACTCGCAAGTTTCGTGTTGGAAAAGTAGAGATGTCGTTCTGAGGTGTTCCGGCGGAGGCTTAATGCTGCCCGGAAGACGCGGCAGATGTACATGCCCGACCTCCATCAGGTCAATGTCGGGACGACCCATCACCTGACGCAGCTCCAGGGGCGCATCGGAACGCTATGTTTTAAAACCAGCAGGTGAAAGACGATATCTGTATATATCTGTACCTGTATAGCCGGTATAAACGCCCTTCCGTGTGAAACGCCAACACTAAACAACCTGTCAAACCTAACCTTTGCACATCTAATTGTAAGCGACATAGTAAGATATCTGGTGATAATGGCCCTACAGTAATAGGTGACAACGGGTTCCACTTCCAGCTTGTAATAATCATGAACAAATACGGAGGTTTGCAAAATTTATTTATCTTCTACCTGCAGTGAGGTAAATTACTGGATACAAAATTGCACATTCATCATTTGATGTGAGCCTAAATATTCCAATTATGAT